TTTCCCAGTACTGGGGATTGAATCTAGGGCACACACGTTATTTGTTTTTGTTTTTTTTTAAGACAAAAGATGTTAATGTATGAGTTGTTTCTTCTAAACTAAAACCTCAGTATTCAGGTTTAATAGCATGTTGTCACTCTGTGATTAATAAGTAGGTTTTCGGGTGCAGTTTGGGCCCTCACCTCTAAAAGTTTCGCTATCCCTGATCTAGGGCCTCCCACGTGCTAGGCAAGTGCTTAACTGCTTCGCTACACTTCCCGCCTACAGTCCCAGCCTTTTTATTTTATTTTATATGTTTTTGGTACCGGGGATTAAACTCCTCCGGACCTAGCGCTTGCGAGGCAGGTGGCGACACCACTGAGCTAAATCTCCGTTCCCTGTTTAGCTCACTTTGAGGCAGGGCTTTGCCAAGCTCCCCAGGCTGGTCACAAACTTAGAATCCTCTTGCCTCGGCTTCCAAGCAGCTGGCATCGTGGGCCTGGCCCGCTGTCGCTGTGGGTGATGAAGGCCTTGATTGCTTGCGCCTGATGAACGATGGCGAATTGGACACAGCATGAGATGGTAAAGAAAAAAGCAGCCAAGTTTGAAACAGGCGCCCGTGCTCTCCCTAAGCCGTTTCATGCCTGCGGGAGGAAAAGGCCAAGGAGCGAAGACGCTGGGTTTAGGAATTGAAAATGCCGCGCCGGGCCCAGGCCTCTGCCCGCTGTGACTGACGGGGTGCTGTCCTGTCGGCTGTGTCTGCGGCACGTGTCCTTTTGGTACCGGTGTTCCGCAGTGCTGTGTTCTATCCGGGGATCCCTTCCAGGCCCTTGTCGTTCTGAACACAAAGAACTGGACTGGAAACAAGGTGGCAAGGTTTCACATTCATAACAGTATTAAGGCTGAGAAGGAAAGGAGTGTCCTCTGCAGAATGAACGCAGGTTAAAGAACGAAAACAAATACACTCTGCAGAGTGCAGAGTGAGCCGCTGGGAAAGCAGAGGCCATGAAGCCAACAGCCACAACCTTTCATGACCCCCATGCTGACGTCAGATTGAGACCCTCCTATCAAAAGCCTGTTTGATCTTGGGCCAGACGAATTGAAGATAACATTCTCTGCTTGGTACTGGGTGCAAGGTTTGGAAGCCGTTCTGTGCATGTGTCCTGGCTGTCCATGGTTGACGTGTCACGTCTCCTGCACCCTAATCTCCTGCACCCTAATCTCCTGCGTCACTTTCCCATAATTCACTCTGTTATAATTGGATGTACGAGTTGCAGTCCGTATGTGTGAAGATTCAGTGAGCTCTAAGTGAAGAAAAGTAATTGCATGTCACGCCAGCAGGTCTGGCACACATGTGCCCTGGTTTGGAATTTCAGAATTTCCCAGGGTAGGCTCAGTGGTCTTAAGGTATAGGCCGTAGGATAAAGGGGTGTTGGGCCTAAGGCGTTGCCCACATTCAGGTGAGTAGCAGGGAGTGATCCTGTCACCCCGATTGTATTATCTATTTACCACTATGCCTGGCTGGATTTTTCAAAGTTGCTGTCATTTCAGGGTAAAAACAAAGGGGACTCGCCTGTCTTGTTGGCTGTGGTAGATGAGGGCCCTTCAAAATTGATTGCTATGAGTCTTAGGCTTTTTGAAAACTGGTCCCTTTCAAAATTCAATTTGATTATATCACTTAGTATAAGAGGACTATGTGGTCTCGTCTACTGGGGCCATAGCCTCTCAGCCAGATGTGGTGGGCGCACCTGTAATCCCAGTATTCTGCAGGCCGAAGCAGGAGCATCTCCTTTGAGTTCGAGGCCAGCCTGAGCTACATGGTGAGTTCAAGGCCAACTTTGACTGCATAGCAAAACCCTGTCTCAAAAAACAAAACAAGGCAACAACATCATAGACTCTCACAACCTTTAATAGCTGATACATACAGAGGAAAAGAAAATGACTGCGTAAAATGAGACAAGGCCCTCCTGGAGGTTAGCTGGTTCCTTATTTGGTTAAATCAGTGTTTGCTCACCAGAAACCTAGTTCCCTGAGACCCATCCTAGTCTAGTGACCTCCCAATTAGTGTTTCCAACAGCCATTAAAGTGCAGATGGCTTATAGGTCAAAATTATCATTGAAATCATCTGAAGAATTCCAGAAAGTGCGGTACTCAAGAGTTTCAGGGACATGATCCTGTTCAGAAATGCCAAGGAGACATTAAGTTTGAGAACCAAGTCAGAGCCACCACTCTGGCCACACCAAAGAATCACCCCAGAAGCTTTTTTTTTTTTTCCTTTCCTTTTCTTTCCTTTTGGTACCGGGGATCAAACTCAGGACCTTGTGTTTGACAGGCAGGTGCAGCGTCACGGAGCTAAATCCCCTACCCAACCCCGAGAGCTTTTAAACAATGCCCAGACCAATGTAATTCACTAAGGGCGGGGCCCGGGCATCACTGATTGTTCAGGACTCTCCAAGTTGATTCTATTATGAAGCTGGAGGTGGGAACCGTTGGATAAAAGAAAGAACTGAAAGGACCTCTCTATGCAGATGTCTGGGTTTTCAAGCCATTCTATTTTAAAGATAATGTTAGATTCCTAGCATTGAATTCAGGCTGGAAGATAAAAGAATCAAGTTGTACTGCTTGTCCTTAGGGTTTGTCCAATTTTCTTTTTCATGTTAGATCTTAGTTAATAGTTTTGTTATTGGGACTGAGGGTGGAGCTCAGTGGTAGAGCTCAGGCTTTGTGTGCAAAGGCCTTGCATTTAATCCTCACCCACCAAAAAAAAAAAAAAAAAAAAAAAAAAAGAGAGAGAATCTAAGCACAGTTTATTATTTTTTTTTCCCCTCTTCTCCCAGAACACAATAAACCTGGGCAGTTCCCTCTCACCTGCAAATAGGTTTGGCCATTCCCTTTTTATTTGCAAATGGTGCTCTCTTACCTGTGACTAGACCACCTTTCCCCTATAAATTAGGCCACCACAGAAACACTGGAAGATTATTTTACTATGTGGGGGCCACCCCCACCCACCCACCAGACCAGGACTATAGAGTATCAAATTACACAATTCCCACCACCAAAATACATATTCCCAGTTCCACACTAGTGCCTCTCGTTTTGATATAGGGACCATATAAAGACATCCAAATGTGATATGAGGTAAATATTATAACTCCCAACCTGTGAGATGTCTGATACGCCAAGTTTGTGTTCTCTAAAATCAAAGAATGAGTTCGGGTAACAATGGAGGTTAAGAGTATTGAGGGAAAGAAAGTTTCTAAGAGGACAGAAGGGGGCCCAGAAAGTGAGTGGCCCTCAAGCCTACTTCTCAAAGAAATTTTACAGAGGCTGAGATTTAGCTCAGAGGAGCCGCCCCCTGCCTCACAAGCGTAAGGTCCCGAGTTCGATTCCCGGTAACAACAAAAAAATGTTTTCTGAAGCAAAATCTCAAGATGGGTACAAAACCAAGAGATGGGCATAAGGTGGGACAAAACTATGGTCAACCAGTAAGATTATAAGTACAGTCGCTTAGGTAATATTGATCCAATGGGAAAGCACGTCAGTAGCAAGTGTACATGGAAAGAAGAAGGAACTTTCCCGGAAGGGACAAATCAAGGTCTTGGTCCTCACCCAGGTGACTGATGTCCTTTTAGAAGATCACTCATTATTATTTATCCCTGAGGAAGTCGGGTCATTTCATCTTTGTCTTGAGGCCTGGCCTTTAAGGAATGTGCCTCCACCCACAGTTGTGATGTGTTTTTTTTTTTTGGCTTTTTGAGACAGGGTCTCACTGTGTAGTTGAGACTGACCTCTTGAACTCACAGCAATCCTCCTGCCTCAGCCTCCCAAGTGCTCCTACTTTCATGGTCATTTTGAGTTTGCAGAAGAGCCAGAAAGCTGCATGATTACAGGTCTAGTGAGCTAGATGAGGACGCACTGTAATGCTCTGAGGTGCTTGCTTTTCTGTTGGGTGGATTTCGGCAGGGGCATTCACTGTATTTTTCTCATACCTTGTGAAGATACTCATGAAAGAGCACTTCCAGAACTGTTTCAGAACATGGCAAGAACGATGGGCTGAGTGTGTTTTAAGCAAGGGAGAGTATGGCAATGTCACATCGGGAGTGTGCCTCTGCTCGGCTGGGATGAGCAGGCGGCTGGGGTTGTAAATTCAGCACCGGCAACAGATTAAAGGGATGGTGTTTCAGAAAGGAAGACACTTTCTTTGTAAGGACGAAAGAGTAGAAGACAGAAAACTGCCCTGTGAGAGGTGAGAGCAGAGGGTCCAGAGAGATGCCCGCTGGTCTGTGTCTCCGGCTTCCCTTCATTATGTTTTGGGGGACCCTTCCCCCAGGTGGGTACCTGGAACGTGTCACAACCTGATTGATTCTCTGGACTGTCTTGGATGGGTCCCAGGCCCCATTGCCAAATGCACATTCCTTTGGTGGGCTTTGATTTCCTCCTTCTGGTTTGTCCTTGTCAGGCCCTTATCTCTGGGATTTATAGGTCAGCTGGGAGGAGTCTTATAGAAAAGCAATTTAAAGTTAGCAAGTAAGGGGGTGGGTGTTATCTAGTACGGTGCTATAGTGACCCTGGAGATGGAATGCTTGTATATCTTTATATGATTTTCCTTGAAGCCAGTAGTCCCCTCCCCCGTTGGTCCCTTTGCATTTGATCGGAGGTGAGGCTGAGCTGCCATCTTGGTTTCCAGGACCTGGCTTCCCCCGTGCCCCGCCTGTCAGCCGTCCCTCTGCTCCTTCCATGTGAGCCCCAGTGCCATTTGGTGCCTTTCCTTATCTGGTTTCTTCTCACTATCCTTATCCTTTTAATCGCTCTGTCCAGTGAAGCTTTAACTCCTTCTAGTCAGGATTAGCCATAGAGCCTAACAGAGCTTCTCTTCTTCCCTGCCTATACACCCTTTTCCCCTACAGCAAAGTTATCTTTTACTGTAATAGATTTTTTGAAGATGTCAACATTCGCTGTGTTAAACTCAGAGGGTGAGGGGGTCCCATTGGGCTTCTAGGTTCTTGTGCACAAGGCACAAATGATTGGGCGTGGTGCTCAGTGGGAAGGAGGAAGCAGCCCAGTTTAATGACGCTCAACGAGGTGACAGTGTACTCAGAGTGAGCTCTCACCTGCAGAAAGGAAAATGGCAGGAGAGGGTTTACCCATCCAAGACAGCCCAGAGAATCAATCAGGTTGTGACACGTTCCAGGTACCTGCATAGGGGGAAGGGCCCCCCAAAACATAAGGGAAGCCAGAGGCCAAGACCCGGACCAGAACCTCTACTCTCACCCCTCACAGGGCAGCTTTCTGTCTTCTGCTTCCTTACAAATAAAGTCTCTTTCTTTCTTAAGCATCATTCCTGGGTCGGGGATGTAGCTCAGTGGTTCTGCCGCCTGCCTCACAAGCACAAGGTCCCGAGTTTGATCCCCTTGTACCAAAAAAAAAAAAAAGAAAGAAAGAAAAGAAAGAAAGAAAAGAAAACATCAGCCCTTTACTTTGTTACTGGTTTAAGAATTTAAACTCAGGCATGTGTTGGGTTTAAGAATTAAATGTTGCACTGGGTCAAGGGTGCCTCCCTTTGGGCCTTCCAGAATGTGCTAAGTCACGTCTGTTGTGCTTCTTACAAATGTCCTTCCCCTAATTCACTGCATTATCTTGGACGCATGAGATGTGGTCCATATGCATGAAGCTTCAATGAGCTTCGTGGGAATAAAGATTACTATGGGCTCTGCTAGCTGACCTAGCACACGTGTGTCTTATCTCTACTTCTGGGTAGTAGGTCTTTGATGAAGGTGGGGAGGCCCTTGGCACTGCCCAGATCTGGGTGAGAGTGAGGAGTGGCCCCATGGCCCCAACTGGATTATCTATATTAAGGGTGTATTTGTGTTGTTGTTGCTTTTCGTTTTTTGCGGTACCGGGGTTCTAACTCGGGACCTTGTGCTTTCGAGGCAGGCGGTGGCACCATTAATTGTATACTTTGATCACCTCTTCTATAAGTAAATAAGCACTGCCGGTGTGCTGGTTATAAGGGGTAGAGGAGAGTCCTCCACCATCCTCTGAAGATTCACAGAAGTAAACTGAAAAAAAAAAAGACTAAACAGACAAAAATGCATATGGATTTATTCATGTACGAAAGCGGGTACCGTGGGATACAGCTGGAGCTTTCCTTTTTCGGGTTCAAACCCAGATCTGTGTGTCTCCTGGGCTCTTTCCTGGTTCCCCAGCTGAATCATAGCCAGGAAGGTATAGGGAGCAGGGTGGTGCGGTCCAAGATGGTGTTGTCTCTTCCTCCTCCCCAACCCCTAGTCTCCAGTCGGAAGAGGGCAGTAGAAGCAAAATGCAGCCTGGCCTGTGAGTACCTGAGCGAGGAGGATTACATGGACCTGCTGTGGACCACGCTGTCTGAGTTTCCAGGTGAGGACCTTGTGCTGGGTGAGGCTGGGGCACGAAAACCAGAGAACATGGCACCTGTCCAGCTGGGGGCTCTGTCCCTGCCACCTGGACACAAATCCCATTTCTATAGAGGCCAGGGATTGTTTCCTTCAAGTGGCTAAGAATTATGAAGGGGCAGAGAACTCCACCCTATTTAAAGAGTAACCAGCTGCCCAGTTTTGTGCCTGCTAGCAGGAGACCTGAGACTCCTGGGTCAGAGGAGAAAGGCGGTCACAACGAGCAACCTGAGTAACAGATCCTAGTGTCGGTCCCTCTTCCCTCAAGCCTCACACGGATGCTGAAGAAGAGTATCCGAGTGGATGCTACACAGGCAATAGCACTGCAATACAGCTGAGCGTATGAGTTCATTTTCCATTAAAAAGGAAAGTACCCAAGGCTGAGCGGTTAATAGAGAAAAGAGGTTTTGTGGCTCACAGCTCTAGAACTGGGGGCTGTCTGCTGAGGACCTCATGGTGGCTGTTAGCACAGTGGTGGGACGGAGGCCAAGAACAACCTCCTGCTGGGTCCCACCTCTTACAAGTCTCACTGCTTTTTTTGGTACCGGAGATCGAACTCAGGTCCTTGCACTTACGAGGCAGCCACCAGAACCACTGAGCTAACTCCCTGGCCCTCTCACTGCTGCCTAACACAACCACGCTGAGGACCAAACTCTCAGCCCATATACCTTTGGGGGACACACTCAAGCCACATTCAAACCACAGCACCTAGGAACCCCCAAGTTTAGGAGACCCAAATCTTCTGTAATGGACCACCAGATACCTGTAAAACCTTTGCCCCAGCAGGAGACATCATCATCTTTATTATATTGCTCCATGAAAAAACATGCCCTTTGCACCAGAGGAAGACAGTATCTCTGTCTTTGAAGGAACAGAAATTATGGTTACAATAAAAATATCCACTAATTTGGGGGGTGGGGACGAGGCTCAGTGGTAGATTACTTTCTTGGCACATGCAAAGCTATGCATGGTTAAACAAAACATCAACAACTATTATCCACCATTTACTGTGGGTTCTCTTTTTTTTTTCTTTTGGTACCGGGGCTCGAACTCAGGACCTTGCACTTGTGAGGCAGGTGTGGTGCCACTGAACTAAATCTGCAGCCCTTTATTAAATATTTACTGTATATCAGGAACTGTGCTAAATGCTTCGCAGATATGATATCGTTGAATCTTCTGAAGCAGTATAATTATTTCCATTTTACAGTTGGACAAACCGAGCTTTGCAGAGATACTGTAACTTGCCCAGCGTAGCAGAAATGATCCACACACCTTGCACCTGTCCATACCCTGCTCCTGAGAGCTTTATGTCACTGAAGACTTGGTCTAAAGTCTAAAAAACAAGCACAGTAGCTAGGAGGGCCAGAGAGTCAGTACCTAGGAGCAACCTTCAAACAATAGCTCCGGAATTTGGTATATAAATGCCCCAGCTTCTTTGCCCACCAGGCAAGAAAAGTCAAAGGGCACAGTCTGAAATCTCTCAATGGAATTCAGCTCCAATTGTCTGCAGTAGTAACTTGCCCCCTACTCAACCTTATTATCTGCCTTCCCTTCACACTGTCTTTCTGGTGCCTGCCAGGATCACCTCTGAGTCAGTATCTTGCATTTTCATTCCTGGCCTAGGCTGTACTGGGAAAACCCAGCTAAGACACCAAGTGTCCCACCCCTAGTACAGCTAAGAACTGGATCTTAGGGTCCAAGGTCTTCAGGGCTTTACGATACTGTTCATCCTTCTTCTGAAGCCCTTTCCCCCTGCAGCACTCAGCAGGCAGAGGCAGGAGGATCGCTGTGAGTTCGAGACCAGTCTGGGCTATAGTGAGGTTCAGGGCTTTACGATACTGTTCATCCTTCTTCTGAAGCCCTTTCCCCCTGCAGCACTCAGCAGGCAGAGGCAGGAGGATCGCTGTGAGTTCGAGACCAGTCTGGGCTACATAGTGAGTTCCAGGTCAGTCTCAACTACATAGTGAGACCCTGTCTCAAAAAAACAAAACAAAAAAAAGAGGTTCCTCTCTTGTCTGTATTAGCTATTTACTGCCATGTAACTAATTATCCCAAAGTGCAGCACCCTTGCTATCTTCCAAGTGTGGCTGCATCAAGAATCTGAGAGTAGCTTCCTGGCTCCTCTGCTTTAGTAGATCTCACAGGGCTACAGTCAAGGAGTTGGCCCAGAAAGCCCAACCAGGGCATTTGCTTCCACTTGCACACATGGTCATTAGTGGAATTCACTTCCTCAGGGATGCTGAACTGGGGGCCTCGGCTCCTCCCTGGCTGTTGGCCAGAGGCCCCATCAGTTCTTTGCCAGGTCACCTTTTCCATCCAGGCTCGCGAAGAGCCTTGGAGAGAGAATGCCCGCAAGGCGGAGGTCATGGCCTTTTGTAATCCGAAGTGGGAAGTGACATCTGTCGCTCTGGCTGTGTTCTGGTCATCAGAATTGAGCGAGCCACTGGGTCTGGGCCACTCTCGAGGGGAGAGGATGAGCCGGGGTGTGCGGTGCGGGGCAGGGCGGAGGGCGTTGGGAGCCACATCTGAAGCTGCCCACCATGCCCCTCCTCCCCTGCAGGTGTCCTTGTGACTCTGTGGATCATTGACCGCCTGGGCCGCAAGAAGACCATGGCCCTGTGCTTCATCATCTTCTCCTTCTGCAGCCTCCTGCTGTTCATCTGTGTTGGAAGGTGGGTTATCGGAGGGGGCCCCCCTTCCCCTCACCAGCACTGAGGCTCATGGCCACCTCTAAGTGGCTGAAAGATCAAGCTCAGTGTCAGGGCTTCCGATCAGGGTAGGTGCAGGATAGAGCTTTGGCCCCAGGTTTGATCCAATCACATCAGATTTAGACCTTGGCCATCAACTCCAAATGGGATCAGACACATAGCTGTTCGCATATGTGTTAATAGTATTGATTTGTTCAATGGCAATCGACCCTGTTTCAAAGAGATCCTGTTTTATAATCCTGTTTTGGCATTTCTCCATTTTCTCTCAACTCTCAAGATCCCCACAACATAGAAATGTGTAAATCTGTAATCCCAGCACTCTGGAAGGCTGAGGCAGGAGGACTACAAGTTTGGGGCCGGCCTTGGGCAACTTAGTGGGACCCTGTCTCAAAATAAAAAATAAAAAGGGTTGGAGATATAGCTCAGTGGTGGAGTGCTTGCCTAGCATGTATAAGACACGGGGTTCAATTCCTGGCAGCACAAAGGGAAAAAAACGATCTTTAGAGATGGTGCTGGGGTGTGTGCCTGCCAATTTCTGGGGTGTAAATTCTGCCTTGCTTTACTGAAACAAGCAGACATTAAAAAAAAAAAAAATACTGGCTCATCTGCTTTTTCTCCACTCCACAGAAATGTGCTCACTCTGTTACTCTTCATTGCAAGAGCGTTTATTTCTGGAGGCTTCCAAGCTGCCTATGTTTACACGCCTGAGGTAGGAGAGGAGTCTGGGAGCCACCAGGGCCAGGGGGGCGGTGCTCTGCTTCCAGAAACATCCAGCCAGGCTGCTGGGAACGAATTTGTCCTTGCATCAGAGTGGTGATTGTGAAGCCCTTCATTATTTCAGCCCATTTTGCAACCATTCTTTTTCCTCTTTATAAAGCACTTGCTCAGTGTCAAAATTCCAAATGTTACCTGTGTAAAACCCAACGTGAAAGGGTCCCACATGCTCCCTTCCTAGAGACAACCTTCTGGGTTGGTTCAGTGAGTATTTTCCCCCATGGTTTGCTGAGCATATGGAGGTGTCTCAGTCTTACCCGGGAGCTGGTGACTGAGAAGAGTTTAGTAAGGGGCCTAGTGACAGTGGTGGAGCCCACAGTTGGGTGGCAGTACCCGAGGAAACTGCCACCACCCAACGCCATTTGGACAAAAGGGGAAGATTGCTACCGGGTCTTAGGAGAGTTGCATGGGACTTTTAGTGGAAGGACACAGGTGAAATCCAAATCTTTATTAATAAAGTTTTATTGGAACACACCACAGCCTTTCATCTATAGATGATTCCTGCCAGGGAATTTCAGCTTTGGGCTGGGGTGAAAGTCACTTGTGTTTGGTGGAACTCATACTATAGTATTCATTTTTGACTTATGACATTTTCAATGTACCACAGGTTTATCAGTCAAGGAGTGCCTGTCTTGTTACTCCCCGGGGTAACAGCAGCAGAGTTGAGTAGAAGCCAGAGACCATGTGGCTCACAAAGCCCAGAATTTTCCGAGAGACCTTGTCTCAAAATAAAATAAGCGAGATATTGTGGCGCATGCTTATAGTCCCAGCACTTGGGGACCTGAGGCGGGAGGATTCCCATGAGTTCAAGGCCAGTGTGCATTACATAGTGAGTTCAAGGCCAGCCTGAACTAATAGTTAGACAAAGCAAACAAACAAACAAAAAGAGCCATGGATTTGTCAAAATAAAATATAAAAGGGATGTAGCTCAACATTTCAGGATTCAATTCCACCTACCAGTGGAAAAAAATCCAAAAAATGAAAACTCAAGACAACAAAAAATGCACCGCTGACAAAAGACTAAATATGGACACGAAAGAGATCCACATCTTTTTCTAAAAGGAAAAGAAAAGAATTCTTGCAGAACATGGTGGCACATCCTATAATCCCAGCACTCTGGGAAGCTGAGGCAGGAGGATCACAAATTTAAGTCCAGACTGGCCAACTTACAGACTTAGCAAGACCCTGTCTCGAAATAAAAATAAATAAATTTTTAAAAAGACTAGAGATGTACAGTATGAAATCCTAGGTCCTGGGTTTAATCCCCAGTTACCCTCCCCCAAATCCAAAGCAGCATTGGGCTGGGGATTTAGCTCAGTGGTTCTGCTGCCTGCCTCGCAAGCACAAGGACACGAGTTTGATCCCCGGTACAAAAAAAAAAAAAAAAAAAATCCAAAGCAGCATGTACGGAGTGTGCAGGGATGAAACCGTATCCACCTGGAACCGGCTTCTGTGTAAGGAGAAGGAGGTGAGAGGCCACAGTGCTTGGATAAGAGAACTGTCCGCGGCATTGTACCTTTGTCTATGTTAAAAATTCTCCATCAGAGAAATAAATAGGACTATAGCACTAATCTGTCTATTTGTTTTAGAATTGAGTGCCAACCACAGGCCAAGCGTGTATGTAGAGTTTATATTCTACATGACCGTTATAGAGAAGACACGAACACACCGTGGTGTCGCTCGCTCCCGATTGAACTGTAACTCGCAAAAACCCACTGAGGTCCGCGGTCGCAGCAGAGGAGCAGAGCGTGGGAGGCGGGATCGCGCTGCTGCCTTACCGCTTGCCCTCTGTCTTGTTGGAACCTCCTCTCCTCGGGGGCAGCAACACTGGAAGGAATCAGACCGGCCCCCAGGGCTTGGCCCACTCAGTCCTGAGCCTTGGGGGAGAGGGGATGGCTGTTTCCCGAAGCCCACATCCGGCTGTCGTTCCAGGTCTACCCCACGGCGACGCGGGCCCTGGGCCTGGGCACCTGCAGCGGCATGGCGAGAGTGGGTGCTCTCCTCACTCCCTTCATCGCTCAGGTACGTGTCGCCCCAGGTGTGGGGGCGGGAAGCCGCCTTCTGCAGAGCCCTTTTCCAGTCATACCTTCTCACCCCCCAAATCCTCCCTAGGAAAGAAATCCTGAGGCTCAAAGGTTAAAGGGAGTTGCCCACGGTCACACAGCTGGGACGTAGACGACCCCACTCATGTTCAGTTCTTTCCTGTGCAGAAGACCTTCAGGGTGCCAGGTGGTTTGACCCATGACAGTTTGGATAAGCAGGGTGTGGTGGCTTGTATTTGTAATCCCAGCTATGTGGGAGGCTGAGGCAGGAGGATCACTGGAGCTCAGGAGTTCAAAGCTAGCCTGGGCAACATAGCAAGATACTATCTCAAAAAAGAAAAGAAGAAGGAAAAGTTTGATCGCACAAAAACAAATATTCCAGTCCAGTGGTGGCAATCCTATGGCACCTGTGTTATTTGTTTTTCTTTTAAGACGAAAGATGCTAATGTGTAAGCTATTTTTTCTAATCTAAAACTTCAGAAAAAAACTTTCTGAAATATAAAATAAATAAATAAAACGTCAGTATTCAGGTTTAATTGCAGTGTTGGCACTTTGCAATAAGTAAGTGGGTTTTGGGTTGGAGTTTGGGCGCTCGTCTCTAAAAGGTTTGCCATCACTGTCCTACACTCTCCTTTTTGAATTGGATACTTGGGAATAGTTAACCAAATTATGCAGTTCTGTGTGCCTTTGAAACATATCTATCCATTTTTGTTTTGTTTTCTTTTGGTACCAGGGATCAAACTCGGGACCTTGCGCTTGTGAGCAGGCGGTGGAACCAATGAGCTAAATCCCCAGCCCTGTATCTATCCATTTTTAGGGAATCTCATTAAGCCTTTTGCTTTTGGAATGTCCAGTTATTTTTTCTTTTTTTGTGGGGGGGTTACTGGGAATTGAACTCAGGACCTTGTGCTTGCGAGGCAGGCGGCGGAACCACTGGGCAAAATCCCTGGCCCTTATTTCTTAATTTTGATTGTTTATATTGAGGTAAAAGTCACATAAACTAAAATTCAGCAATCAGCAAATCGTTGCTCATTAAGATGGCTGATGCCATCTTAAATTCAACAATTCAGTGGCATTGTTGTGTATCTACCCCCGTACCTAGTTCCAAAATGTTCTCATCACCCCAAAATCCACATAAGTGGAATTCCAGTACACGGCTTCCCCTTTTGTTAGCTTGTTTGCTGTACTGGGGATCAAATCCAGGGTATGTACCACTGAACTACGTCCCCCCACCCCTGCTTTTTATTTTTTATTTTGAGAAAGGATCTTACTAAGTTGCCCAGTCTGGTCTTGAATTTAAGATCCTCCTTCCTCAGTACGTTTTATCCAAGTATTTCTGTTCTGCTCTGTTGGGCATTGTATGTCACTCCTGAGACTGGTTGTGAGCTTGCCAGGGGTCTGCATGGTGCCAGGTGTTCCCGAGCTTTCGCTCCCTAGTACGTGTTTTTATGCACCTTAGACAGAGGAGGAAACGGGAGTCAGTTCTGCCCTCTGGTTTGCTTATGTTATTTTTTGTTTGTTTGTTTTGAGACAGGGTCTCACTATGTAGTTGAGACTGACCTGCAACTCACTATGTAGCCCAGACTGGTCTCGAACTCCCAGTGATCCTCCTGCCTCAGCCTCCCGAGGGCTGGGATTACAGGCGTGCGCCATCACGCCCGGTGGTTTGCTTGTGTTATAAAGCTGGGAATCCAGCATGGCCGAAGTACAGTTTGGAGGAGTCCAGACTCTTGGCCATCAGCCTGAGTTCAGCTCCCAGCCCCATCCGTATTACTTGTATGAGCTGAGGTGTGCTACTTGTCCTCTTTGAGCCTCAGTTTCCCCCTGTGTGAAATGAGGGGGAAGTGCTGAGCCCGTAGAGATGTTGCGCAGTGTGTCTGCTCCAGAGAGGCCACACTCACCAGCCTGTGTCTCCCTCCCTCAGGTGATGCTGGAGTCATCCGTGTACCTGACCCTGGCGGTTTACAGTGGCTGCTGCCTCTTGGCCGCCCTGGCCTCTTGCTTTTTGCCCATCGAGACCAAAGGCCGAGGACTACAGGAGTCCAGCCACCGGGAATGGGGCCAGGAGATGGTCGGCCGAGGGGCTCACGGTGCCGGTGTTGCCAGGTCGAACTCTGGCTCTCAGGAATAGTGACCCCTGGGGGGCTGAGCTGGTCTTGGTGGCTGTAGAGCCTGGGGAGCTGGCGGAGCCCAGCTGAGCCCCTCATGGTCACTGCTGCCAGCAAGAATTCACTCAAGGGTGACCTGGACCGATAGGGCTTTGTGTCGTGACTCTATCTGCCCGTACTCATTGAGGTCCACCGGGGATGGGGAGCCGTTTGCTCTGGGCGTCTGTGTGTCGGGGGAAAGTTTACTAATAACCTGTGGATCTGCATGGGAAAACTGCCCCCACAGGAGGGGTAGGGATGCTGGCTGCTATACAGCGGCTGTCCAGAGCCACCTGCTCGCATCCTCAGTGAACAGCCACTGAAAAGAATCTCTGTAGATAGTCCAGGCCCTCCACGGATGGACCTATTCAATAGGTGTCCCCTACACTCCAGGCCCCAGGCTTTCTTCTTTGAAGTAACAGGTGACCTAGGTGTGTGGCCCGAGCTCCTGTGTCCCCTCAGCAGCAGGGCCCTTCTGATTGGCTCCCCAGAAACTGCCTGGTGGGGACCCTGGCCAAAGAACAAGCGTTTGAACTGGAGCCGAGTGCACCCACCTTGCTCTCTCTGGAGTTTCTGTCTCTGGCTCCCGGGGACCCAGATGTGTCCTGGGAGAGCTGAGAAAGCTGTTACCCCGCTCCCGACTTGGGAAGTGGGGACTGAAGCCCAAAGGAAGGGAAGCCACAGCAGGAACTTCTCCTTCTGAAGCCAGGGTGTCTTTTCTGGCCTTCTCCTGGGTCAGGCTGAATGGTGACTCGAGAGAAAAGGAAACAGCTCACTCAGGTTTCAGGGGTTTGGATTTTGTGGGTAGGTAGATGGCTGAGTGGGCAGAGAACCCCATTATAACATTAGTCACTGGCTCTGGTCAAGTCCTGGGGTCCGGAATCCTGACGTGAAGCCCCGCCCCAACACAGGTCCCATTTCTGTGCCGCCCCTCTGTCAGGAGCTGTCCCTGTCCTTACAGGGGCAGAAGCCGAGATGCCCTGAAATGGGGAGGAGCAGAGGGCACAGGTGGGTGCGAGGTGTACATTTCAGAGGAGGATGAAGGCCAACAGAGCATGGGGTTGGCCCAAGGGCAAGGGCTGGTGGGAGCTAGGGCTCCACAGACTACACCCGCTCCCGGGATTGGGTCTAGAAGAACCTCTTCCCTGTGGTGAATTTGGGAACCTACAGCAGGAGGGAGCAAGCTGCACATCTCATCCAAGGCCAGAGAAAACAGACCCATTGCTCGAAGTAAACATTGCAAGGAAGCCAAATGTGTGTGTTCATCTCTTATTAAAACATGTTGGTGATGGACATCGCGAGGGTCTACGTTTGGTCACTTGTCATCCTGTCCTAGTGACAGTTCAACCTAATGGTCTTGTCCGCTCTGTCCATCTGAACTGATCTCGATGCTTTGTCACGATGACCTCCTCTCTAGTGCGGGGGGGGGGGCACAGTTGTCCGGCTACATAGCGACCGCGATGGACGACATTTTTAGTCCTAGAGGTCAACAGCAAGCAATCCCGCGTCCGAGGCTGGCTCACAGGAGACAGCATCGAAGGCCGGACTCTTGAACTACGAGCAGCCATGTCTCTGATTATCTGTAGATGACTGAGTTCTCCTGGGTAATGCAGAAGTTTCACTTGTCTTTTTTGCCTTCCAGCTGGTCAGATGCTGGCAGATAATCCTTTCTCCTCTTCACACGCCAACATCCCAGCCCCGCTGAGGACCGGGTGGGGAGGGAGTGCCTTGTGAGCGGGAATATTTTCCAGGGACTGGGATGAAGGAGACTGTAGTTTTCCAATTGAAAAAAAAAAGGAAGTTAAAAACTCTTTGCCTAAGGGTCAGGGATTTATTTAGCTCAGTGGTTCCATGGCCTGCCTTGCAAGCGCAAGGACCCGAGTTCAATCCTTTACAAAAAAAAAAAAATACTCTTTGCCTACTGAATAGCCAGCCCCTTAAAAAAAAAAAAAAATCAGTATTATCAAATAATAAAAGATCTGCCACAGAAGTCTCCCGAGAGTTTGAAATACATGGGCCCTTTAGCAAAAGATGAAGATGTAAGGGCCAGGATTTAGCCCAGTACTTCTGCCGCCTGCCTCACAAGTACCAAGTCTGGAGTTCGAGCCCCGGTAACCCCTGAAAAAGAGATGAAAATCTGTTGAACAATCCTGTTCAGAGAAGCTCTGGTTTCCATGAGTGGAAATGCCATCTCCTTCCTTCCGTGTTAGAGAAGATTTCAGAAAATCTCCACAGATGTTCCGCAGAGCCAGGGCTGTACATTTCTTTCTCTTCCAGTATTCTTAAGCACACACAAATGACCTTGGTGGTATTGGCACTGAGATGAAAGAGTGTCTTAGGAATCAACTCGGAAAGGAATATGGATATTCAATATTCTTAATATTGTGAAACAATAGAAATCTCTGAGTGGTGAGATCATGGGTCCTCCCGTTGTTCTTCCTACTAGACCTCCAAGGATACTTTCAGCCGCCAGTAGCAGTGAACATAATCCATCAAGGTTTAAACCGTTAGCATACTCATTGCCCATTTTACAGGAAGCCCAAAGTCAAGCAGAGTCCAGGGAAGTTTTGGAGCTCCACAGTGACATCCAGGACCCAGGACCCAATGTGGCTTTGCCTCTGCATGCTGTGCATTTGATCCTATGTATGTTTCGTTTTGTTTTTTTGGTATCAGGGATCGAACTCGGGCCCTTGCGCTTGCGAGGCAGGCAATGGAACCGCTGAGCTAAATCCCTGGCCCTGATTCTATGTAGGAAACCTCATGGGCATGAGGTGGCTAATAAAGTGTGGCGCATCACATTTCTTGTCAAAGAAACCTGACTGGGGAAGAAAAACTTTCTCCCAGAAGGGTCTGCTGTCTCGGGGAGGAAAGGAAAGTCCCTCAGCAGATTTTCTCTTTGCTTCTCATTCAGCAGAACTGGGTCACAGGTCCTTGCCAACATCAGCCTTTCCCTAGGCCTGGGGAAGGGAAGGCCTACATTCCATAAGACCCACAGATGTCCACACCCGTTCGATGCAAACTTGGGATTCCAGCAACGTGGAGAAGGGTGGCAGGCACTGCTGAGTAGGCAGTGTTTGAGTGCGGGGCCTTCCTGGATATACAGGCCAGCAGATTCTCATCAAGGCTCCTCTCAGTAGCAAGGAACAGACATTTTACTCGGGCTGATCCTCAGAACAAGAGGTCGAAGAGGACCCATAGGACCCCTCCAAAGGGGTGAATGCTGTGGAGCTGTGGCTGACTTTGTGGGTCCAGGGTGACCAGATCTCTGGATTTTCAAGACTGGATTTTTATGGGAAATATCCAAATTTTGGAATGTTGAATCAAAAACAGTTTAAATGATATGTGAGCTGAATAAAATTCATATGCAGGCCGGGTCAATGGGCTGCGCAGTTTGTAACCTCTGAGAGGTTATAGATTGAACAAAAATAAAGTTAAGGCTGGGGGTGGTAACGCACAGCTGTAATACCCACTACTCAGGAGGCTGAGTCAGGAGGATCACACTTAGAGAAAGCACATAAATCCACCATTGCAAAATTCACAAGCTTACGTGGGCTACGAATTCCCCTTGTGCTCCTCCTATTCTCCATTTTTGGGCAGAATCAAGAGGAAGCCATACTTCAAAAGAAACTCTAACCACTTACCAAAACAAAAAAAGAAAAAGAAAACAAAACAAAAAAACCCAAGAGGGTCACTTTGTCACTTTGGATTTGAATATAGACTTTCCTGACCTCATGTGGTTTTGGGAGTTCACTGTACACTGGGCCTGTGGTGCTCTTGTGGACAATTACCTTTGAACAGTACGGGTCCACTTCCCTGGACAGTTTTAATTTGGGTGAAGAAATCACTTTGGTTGGCCTTAAATACTGAGGCTCGATCCAAGTGCCAAGATGTGTCCCCTGCCCTGGAATCCTTGTCCGAAGTCTCTAGTCCTTGCCAAACATGACTATAAGCAGAGAGTAAGTTTCTGTTCAGTATGTTTAGAGTGAGCTGGGTAAGAAGCCAGCCGGTTCCTCCATGACTGTATATTTCCCCCACTTTGGAATTTCCTGTTGCAGGGTAGGTAAAGGGAGGCACTGAGATCGGGTGATTGTGGGGCCTGAACCTTCATTGTACTCTTCACTGTCTGATGACCTTGGGTTGCCTCTCCATGCCTCGGTCTTCTCACCTGTGAAGTGGGGATACCAGCAATTTCTTGGGGGCTTTCGTGAGGATTAAATGAGTACTGCGTGCAGCCTGGTACTCAGGGTGCAGTCACTTTTAGCTGTGCTAATAGTCACCGTTGTTAGGCTGGCACTCTTAGACCTGGGTTCTCTCATCCAATTTAGCTTAGGACTAGGCAGCTTCAGGACTCGTGCTTTGGGAAGAACCCACCTGATGAAAGGGCACGAGGATTGTGGGCAGAGTGTGGGGTGACATTCCACGGGGCAATGATACCTCCTCACAGCGCACGGGGCACCCCCGGCCCAAGATGTGTGATGCTCCCTGGGCTCTGGCCTTTCACAGAATCTCAGACAGGTCAACGTTCGATCTGCGAGGCAGAGGCAGCTGAAAAGGGATGAAGACGCTGAAGGGTTTTGTGATGGGGCATTTTAGTTGTCCGGCTGCCTGGGTTAAGGGACGAACCAGTAAAGCTTTGTGTCTGGGTGTGTCTGGGAGTGTGTTTCCAGAGAAGAGTAGCGCAGGAGACTTGGGTTGGGTGAGGGCAGACCAGACCGCTGTGTGAGCAGGCACCATCCGGCCAAAATTGCATGGAAAGGCCCCTGTCCCTCCTCTGCTAGAGCTGTGATACCCTTTCTTCTCCTGCCCTTGGACACCAGGACTCCAGAATCTCTGGCCTTAACTCTAAGACTGACTCCAGCCACTCCCCTCCGCCCAATTTCTCAAAACTGTCAGACTCTGATGACAGTTATACCCTCAGCCTCCCTGGTGCTGAAGATTTCAGAGTAAGACTGAAACATGCTCCTGGTACCTAGGGTCTCCAGCAGATGGCCCAACACAGGACTTCTTAACCTCCATGCAAGCCAGTTCCCCTAACAATCATTCATCTATCTATCTATATTTCTATCTATCTATCTATCTATCTATCTATCTATCTATCTATCTATCTATCTCGTCCATCTGTCCATCCATCCTACTGGTTCTGTCTTAGAGAACCCTGACTAATACAGGATCATTGAAGGCTTTCAAAAAATATCTGGCGGCGGGGCGGGGGGCTGGAGATGTAGCTCAGTGGCACAGTGCCTGCCTCAAAAGCACAAGGTCCTGAGTTTGATCCCTAGTACAAAAAAAAAAAAAAAAAAATCTGGGAGATTCATCTCAGGAGGCCCCAGCCAGAACTCAAGAAAGACGTGAAATCCCCATAAGTACCATGCACAGTGAGCTTAGTTTAGGATGGGGTTCCTTGCGGGATGACCCTTGTAATGTCCCTCAATGGTTTCTTGGGGTCACTCTGTGGGTAACTGGTGCCATCTGAGGTGCTGGATGAGGAGCAGGCGTAACATGTCACCAATTTAATACTTCACCTCTCCTGCCTCTTCCACACTCCAGTTCTACCTGTAACTCCCTAGAAAGAATCTTCTACAGCGCCTCCCCAAGTGGATTCCCTGGCAGTGACCGATGTTCTGGGTAAAAGTTTCCATAGTGAGGAGGAAGTAGGAGACGCTGCGTGAGACAACATCAGATAGCAATCTTTGCTGCAGGATTTTTCAGAGCCTTTAATAGGTTCATGTGACTTATAGTCAAGTTATTTAACCTCAGTCATCTTCAATTTCTGTGCCTTTGGGAAGCTGGCCTGTTTGATTTACTGAGTTTTCCTTCCTTCTGAGGACTCACAGGACAAAGTCTCAGCTTTTCTTCACAGTGTCAGGCCCAAAGACAGAAGGGTGACCTCAGCCCTCAGGGGGCTGCAGGTGGGGTTGGACACGTGGGTTCTCTCCCTTCAGGCCCATTTGTAGAAAGAAGCAGGATTGGGGGCAAGGAGTAAGCACAGGGTTTCTGGGGAGCACACTGACTGATTAGTCTGTCGAGGGGAACGGGGAATCCTTGTGGAGAAGCTGACAGTCACTGGCCTTCTCAGAGGTGGGATGGTGGCATCCAGGACAGCTCCTTTTCTTCCAGAATTTTCCCAAAGAGCTTGGCTGCCTCCAGTGCACAGCCCCAGTGAATTGTGAGCCCGTAGCCTCCATGGCCATAGTTGTGGATGACCTGGGAGAGGTAACAGAAAAGGTAGCCCTGTTCAGGAGAGGCTGCAGAAGGGGTCAGGGAAGCTTTATGGCTTGGGAGACTCTGGAGCTTCTGGCGAACCCTGGGCAAAGCCAGATAGCAGGAGCTGCTCTGGGCACTTTGGTGGGACTCTGGGCCCCTGGGAATCATTCACACATCTGGAGGGCACCTGGTCTCTTCTCTTCTGCTTTGAAGAAGGGCCCACTTCCCACACTCAGCACAGGGAAAGTGGAGTCACATTAGACCTTGAGGTCAGAGATTTCCTCCACCTTTGAAGTTCCCTGAATCTCCATCCTCATTCCCATCTCACTCGGGACTGATGAACCCTGTGTTGATAAACAATCCTCTGCCTACCAGGAAGAAGAAAAGCCAGGGCGCCTGGGTGGTGGGTGATCTCTGGATGGCACGGTAATGCATCTTGGGAACTCAGGCAAGACCTCGGGCCTTTGTCAGTATAAAGCCATCGGTAGGAAATTAACTCCATGGAGGATGCTCCCCTCCACATATGCACACAAAAACATTCTTGTGTACACACACACACACACACACACACACACACACACACACCCTGGATACCTGAAGAAGAGGGATGACCTCAGTAGGGAGGTTGCTCTTTTGATGGGCACCCAGCCACCACCTGCTCAGGTCAGGCCCTTCAGCCCCAGACAACCCTCCTACCTTTAACAAGCCCAGTGCCCTGCCCCATGCGAGGAGAACCCACAGAGTTGGTGAGGCAGCGCAAAACAGACATCTGGGAAACAGCTCTGGAGTGAAGTTCAGATCAAATCTCAGGCCTGCCTCTCACCAGTGGTCTGACTTAGGCAAGTAGTTTTACCTCGCAAAATTCGGACTTCCTTGTATACGAGATGGGAGAGCTGTCCCTATCCCAGAGAGCTGCAAGGAGATTCATAGGATCAGCCATGTCCTGGGTTTGCTGCAGTCAAAAGCTTGCTGCTTGTGAGGCACAAAGTACTCACTTTTCCTTCTACTCAACTGCAGACTAGCAAACCAAGGCATTGCCCTCTCTGTGACTTCGTGCAGCTCTTTTACCATCGCCAAGCCTCAGTTTCCCTGCTTGTAGGGTGAAGGACATTAGCCACCCTGTCCTCAGGCTGTGTGGACGCGTTGGAAATGGGAGTCAGGGAGGGCAGTGCTGTCCTTGCCAGGAGAACGTACCTCAGCCTTTGCAGATCCAACACGAAGCCGTTCCCTTTCCAGCCGGATCTGGGGGCGTACTGGCCGGAAGCCAGTATATTCACCAGCAGTTCTTGCATTCTGGAAAACACGGAAACGGAGACTTCTGCTACAAGGACATGACCTTGTGAAGACAGATAAGTTGTTCTGGCACCTCGGGAGGGAGCAGTTCTTAGCGATTCCCAGTTAGACTGCATTAGCCCTTGGAAAAGACTTCTGTGTACCTGGTCCAGTCCCAGTGTATTCCGTGGTGTCTGCTGGAGTTAGTCTGCCCACTTATCCCAGAGGTGATATCTTCCCCTCCTCCAGGGGGTTCAGGACCAAGCTGCTGGGTTCCCGGTCTCGGGCACTCCTTCCCTTACCTTCAGCGTGGGCTCCAGCCTGCAGCAGCCTTTCCAAATGGTGTCGTGGTCCTGGGAACTGTTTATCTCGCTCCAGTTCCCCAGCTGGAAGATGCCTCCAAGAGTAACTGCTTGCATCCTAGATAAAAAGGAGGACGGCCTTTGAGATGAACGAGGGTCGTCACCATCCTCTCCCTGGCTAACCTCTGAATCGTTACCACAGTCCACACTGCCATTCTGCTAACGTCACTGTCACCAGCGCCTCGATCGCCACCGTCACTGCCGTCGACGCCACTGACCGCTCTACCCTCACCACGACGCCGTCCCCTCCGTCAGCACCGCCTTCCCTACTCCCGATGACTGGCGCATCATCGGCGTCAGCCGCATTCACCATTCACACCTGTACTGTTAGCATCACTGTTGATATTTTCATCTCCTCCGTGCCATGAACCCGGCCACCGAGTCAGGCACATCGTGGACACGGCCGCCGAGGCCGCCATCCCTGCGGTTCCTATCGCTGCCGACCCCAGTCGCCGCTCCCACTCCCGTTCCCGTCATGGGTCACCTCCACCACTTCCGGTGTGGCTACCGTCACATCTGCCACCTTCATCCCAGCCTCACTCCCACTGTTTTCCAAAAGAATATTTCAGAGAGACGACAATCACGGCTGAGTCCTACCTCCCCAGGGATTTAATTGTCCAAACTCACAGAACACGGGAGAACACGGCAGTGGACACTAAGCAAAGGGCCTGGGGCAGGAGAAAGGAGCATAAAAAGGCACGAAGGTCCCCTCTCTTCCGCCCTACAGGAATTAGGTGTTTACCCTGGGATGATGTACGGGGATGTATAAATGCCGCTCTTGGGATCGTGGGTGAGAACGAAGTGCTTTATCCAGGGAGCATCCACCTGTGGGTTCAGGACAGAGAAGCACTGTCACGGAAGCTGGACGAATGGGCTACTTTTGACCTTGCTCTCCCCTGGCCGGAAGTTCTAACAAGAGAGACAGGGCCAATTCTTTGGCCTTCTCGTGACCCCTCTGGCCCAAGAATGAACCGGATCACTTGCCTTTTGCAAAAGAACCCACCCTGACTGGGAGTTACCCCAGCTTCCTGAAGGACTGCGCACCCTCGGCCCTGTGTCCCTAGGAGAGCCCGAGCACCGCAGGTAAATGGGTATACTCGTTAGCACTCATCAGTGCCACATAAGCCTGCACACGTATGAGTGCACACACACACACACATACATGCCCACCAATGGGCATGCACTTACACACTCACCACCTCCCCCCACACTCACACAGAGTGAGAGGTAGCATGAGAGGGGCGATGGGCACAGCTCCAGGCCCTTAAACCAGGTTGCCTGGTTTCTAATCCCAGTCCCGCCTTGTACTGCCCTGTGAATATGTGCGTGTGTGTTACTTGACCCCTCTGTGCCTTGGGCTCTCCCTCTGCAAGGGGGCAATGGTGCTATGGCAGTACCCATCTCAAAGGGTGGTGGTGAATTCATTAACACAATCAAGTGCTCAAGTCTATTCCTGGCACTTCGTGAAGTCCCTAAATGTTTGATATTTTTATTACGATACAGTTACCTGCAGCAGCTCCCGCCTAGGTACACAGTTAGCCACACATGCTTTGATCTCAAGAAGAAATCCCAGTGGGGGTGCAGGCTTGTAATCCCAGCACCTTGGAAGGCCGAGGCAGGAGGATTACAAGTGCGAGCCCACCCTGAGCAACTCAGCAATTTAGCAACACCCTGTCTCAAAATGGCCTTGGGTTCAAGTTTGAATACTGCCAAAAAATAAAGGAGAAGGAAAAGAAAAAGGAGGAGGAAGCGGGAAGACAGGAACAAGACTGGGAGCAAAAACAAATCCCAAAAGAGAATGCTTGGAATGCCAAAGGCAGGTTGGTCCTTGCTTCTTACATCAATCACCCAAAGTTGGGGTTAGTCTAGTGGACGTTCCCAGTGGATTCGCTGGCTTTGGAGAGGAAACCAGCATGGACAGCAATCTTCCTACCAACAAAAGCTGGAGGTCTCAGCCCATACCCACCTTAATGATCTGCCCCCGGCCTGGCTGCAGCAATGGGTCTGGCTGCAGTGCCCCTGCCCACACACCAGTGCAGTTGATAATCACATCCGCCCCGCCTCTGGCCACCTAGAAGCAACCAAAAGGGAAAGGGGGTGGGAAGGGATGAGGACCCTGGTGTCCCCTTTCTTCCCTGCTCCTACTCCATGGCTCTCTGCTCCCTATGGAACAGTGGCAAGGGGCCTATGAGGAAACCAGAGGAGATTGGCTCCAAAGCTTTCTGCCACTTCCCCAACATGTGACCAGACATGTGCCTTTACCTCCAGGGGACTCGGCCGCCCAATTACAGGAAAGGGCAGGAAATGCCTGCTCACGGGCTGCTCTGCGGGGCTCAGGCAACCTTACTAAGCCTTGAAGAAGCCAGAAAGGAAACCAAGGTAGTTCTCTTCCTCCTTCTGACCTTTCTTCATTTTGTTCCTTCTCACTCTGTCAAAACATTTGTGTTGGAAATGCTGGAAGCCCCAGCCCTGTCTATGTCTGGGACACTTGTTAATCGATAATGCGATGCATTGAGACCCACGCGCACCCCACCCAGCCCATCCTGGTCACAGTGACTCCCCTCCCAGGGGACACACACTTTGCAATGCACTATTGCTGCTCTATAAGCCTTGTGTTGGAGTCAAGTCATGGACCTCAAATGCCCATCAGGACCAACCCAGCACAGGCAGGTCCTCGCTACACAATGCAAGTAGCTATGTGTGCTGACCACCTTCTGTGTACCAAGCAGTTTTCTGAGAGCTGGAGATGATGGTGTCATACAGTCAAGGTCTTGGTACACGGCCCGTGGCTTGATGGTGGCAGCTGCGCCAATCCTTATGATGATGGGGTGACTCTGTCCAGTGTCCCAGCTCGGGACCTGGACTTCGCAGAGACATCAAACCAGATGTCAGTAGGAAGCATTCTAGGGTCTGGGCCTTGGGAGTGGAGTAAAGACAATACTAGAGGAAAGCAGCTGGCTCTCCAGCCCTTCAACTCACTGAGGCTCAGATATAAATTAGCCCCCCTTTTTTCTTGAGACAGGGTCTTGCTATGTCGTTCAGGCTGGCCTTAAACTCATCATATGTAGCCCAGGCTGGCCTTGAACTTGCAACAATCCCCCTGCGTCAGGCTCCCAAGTGCTGCGATTACAGGAGTGTGCCACCATGCCTGGCTAAATTAACCCTATAGCCACTGCAATTTCACTGTTCCTTTGTTCCTATAACAACACAAGGCAGGCACTGCCTCTCTCAGCATACCTGAGACCTCCTGGGATTGAGAAGAGGGCCTAGGGTCTGGGGCAGGGCTAAAGGGGGTGCTAGGAGCCTGAAAAGGGCCACCAACCCAGCAGCAGGAAACAGAGGCTTTCTTCCAACCACATCCATTCCCTCCCTGCCCTGCAGCTCACCTCCTCCAAAGACTCCACCTTCCGCTGGAAGAATTTCACTCCCTTCTCGGTCAACCTGGGATAGGCAGATACATCAAAAGCCTACAATCCAGTTCTTACCCCTTCCCTCCTAAAGTGACATAGGGAACCTTTCTATGGGCTCCTTGAGAGACTGGCCATATCACCAAATCAATCATGAGCACCTTACTGGACTAGTGGTCCACAAAATGTCCACAGGGGAGCCATGTCCTCAAGAGGCCCTGCCCTTCTTTGGGCAAATGCAGAAGGCTCTTTCTAACGTTTAGTGAGGGATTGGGACCCTCTGCACTTTCTCCCTTTCAGTGACCACCACATTGCTTTGTAATGTCAAAGGGGATCAGGTTTGGGATGGAGGAGGGGCAGCCTCGGGCCAATACCAAAAGCTCTTCTGTCAGAAGCAGGGTGTGAGGAGGGAGGCAGACTGGGGACATCCATTCCTCCCTTTAAATGTCCAAGAGTGGGACTGGGGATGTGGCTCAGTGAGAGGTGCCTGCCTAACATCTGCAAGGCCTTGGCCTCAATCCTCAGCCATACAAAATAAACATCCCAGAGGAAAAATAATCCCAATATAAGAAATATAGTGGGCCAGGGATTTATCTCAGTGGCACTGCACCTGCCTTGCAAGCACAAGGTCCTGAGTTTGATCCTGGGTACCCCCTTTAAAAAGTAAAAACAAGAGGGATGTGGTGGTGCACACCAGCAGTCCTAGCCCTGGGAGGCTGAGGCAGGAGTATAGCCCAGCCTAGGCAACTCAGTGACTTAGTGAGAATCTGCCTCAAATTTTGAAAAAAAAAAAAAAGAGGAGAGACTGGAGAAGTAGCTCATTGCAAAGGCCTTGGGTTCAACCCCCAGTGCTGAAAGAAAGAAAGAAAGAAGAAAAGAAATATAGTGGAAAAAACCCCAAAAGAATGAGAAGTAAGATGACATAGATAAAGTATAATGTCTTCATCTAGAAATTTCCTCAAGATAAAAAAAATTTGGGAACATTTTCTCCTAGAAGACTCTGGATAGGAGCCATTAAGTGTTCCACACTTATTAGAAGAAATAATCACATCAGTACAGCTGGCTGATAGCTAGTAAACTGATAATAGTAAATCTGGCTGATAACTAGAATCGTCCAAGGAATTTCCCAAATGACAAAATTCTGAATGAACACTTCTCCCCGGGGTTCTAATTCATTAAGTATAAAGTAGAATCCTGAAATTTATATTTTGAAATATTTCCCTCAGTCATTTGTAAAAGTCACATTTATTCCATATTTTACAAAAATATTAAAGTAATAAAATATAAAAATATATGCAATCTTCCTTAATATGATTGTATATGGCTTATAAAAATCAAAATCTCCCTCAAGCTAGTGTTTGCTAATTTGCAACATAATGAGATTTTCTATTAACCTCAAGAACAAAACAAGCACATCAGGGGCTGGGGATTTAGCTCAGTGGTTCCAATGCCTGCCTCACAAGTGCAGGGACCTGGGTTTGATCCCCAGTACCACCCCCCACAAAAAGACAAGCACTTCCATTATCATCTGATGAGTTATCATTGTTCTAGAGATGCTGGCCAAAGCAATTAGAGAAGAAAAGAGAAAGACAGAGAGCATTAAAGGAAACTATATTTTTAAAATGAGTAAATAATCTATAAAATTTAAGAGAATCCATTTATAACAATTATAAAAATTAAAATTCCTCACTAGGACCTTTAGTGAGGTTACTAATAAATACAATGAGTAAAAAGCTCCCCATGTGATTCTAAAGCCCAGTTGGGTGAAAGAACTGTGGCTTAGGTACACAGTGGGGATCAGGAGCAAGGATAGCTCCCATGCTTCACCTAAGGGTTTTCTTCAACCCTAAGAGTTGAGCAGAAAGGAGGGGAATGCCCTGATCAGTCTCCTCCTACAGCTCGGTCCCTGGGAGGTGCCTCCTTCAAACTGAACCTTAAGATCTTACCTCTCAGTCAGCCACTCCAAGTAGCGCTTCCCTTCTATGATCAGGCTTGTGTTGAACCAGCCATAGCTAGAGTCACAGCAGGCAAAAGTTAACAATAACAATTAGAATCAGCCACTTCTGAAGACTGCCACGTGGAGATGGGATCAACATCATTCTGTGGATTCCCAAAAGCTAGAGCAAGAACCACTGGGTAGTGTGTATGGTAGGTGGAGAAGAGCAATTCTGAGCTTCATGCAAGAAGCTTTCTATCAGACAAAGCCAGCCCTGGCATTAGGAAATTTAAGTGGTGATTGGATGTACAGTTGTAGAGGGTATTCAAATATGGGATGGGGTGAAGAGAGGACCAGAGAGGTATTAGGCTGTAGAGAAAAGAAAAGGATTTGGAGCCACATAAACTGGGTTGGAATCCTAGTTTGGTCATGTGGCTGTGTAACCTCAGGAAGCCATTTAACCTCTCTGAAGCTCAGCTTCCTCATCTACAAAACAAGGTAGTAACATGGAGTGCTATGGTTTGAATGTTGAATGGCCCCCACAGGTCCATATATAAGGCTTGGTCCTCCAATGTACAGCTGTTGGGAGGTAGTGGAATCTTTAGAAAGTGGAGCCTAGTGGGAGGTCTTTGGGACACTGGGGGAGGTGCTTCACTCCAAAGGGATTGTGGGAACCTGCCCATCCCCCTCACTGCTTCCTGGTTTACTATATGAGCATTCACTCTAGCACATGCTTCTGCCATGATGTACCAACCTCACCAGTGACCCAAACCCATGAAGATGTCTGACCTTGGACTTGAACCCCCAGAACTGTGAGTCAAAACAAACCTCTCCTCATTGTCTTTACTTTACAGATATCCTGTGTCCAGTATTTTATTATAGTAATTCAAAGCTGACTAATCCACCGGGCCTTTGGGCTTGAGATCTGGGATTTCATATCCTCTGCCTCCCCAGCCCAAAACCCACATGGACAGACACCAGGAGACCAGGATCTGGGGGTTCTAGGACTGGATGGAACAGGAAATTTGGTGCCCTCATTCTTTTCTGCCTTCTGGACAGTTCCATCTGAATTGTGAAACCTCAGCCCCTTTGTGCAAGGCAGTAACCTCACCTATAACCGGGAAACACATCCAGCTCTCTGGGAGTCAGTTTCCGAAATCCCAGGACTATGTCTTTCCAGAAAGGGTCCTGAAGAGGAAGAAGAGAAGGGGCACAGGGATGGATGTGTGGTGATCAATCATAAAGATGATAACACAAATCTATACAGTGCTTATGTGTGCAAGGCACTGTCCCAGTCATTTAACTTACATGGAGCTATTGAATTTTTCATAACAAGCTATTGTGTTAAATACTATTCTTAGCCCCATTTTTAAAGATGGATCCATTGAGCTTTAGAGAGCTGAGATTTGAACCCATAAGATTTGGCTCCACAATCCATGTTCTTGATGACTAAACTCAGTTTGCGAGCAAGACTGGGGGTGAATGGTGGGGTAAAGTTCAGAAACAGGAGAGAATGGAGCAATGGTACAAGTCACAGAATGGTGAGAGTAGAAGGCAGTGGGCAGAGAGTGTCAGACAGCCTGCCTGGAGACCCCAAGCTCACCACCAGTGAACTCTCTCAGACTCTGTTTTCTTGTTGCATTGAGGAGTCAGTAATCGCTCTTGGCCTCATGAAAGGTGACCGGTAGTGTGGACAACACATTAGCATAGTGGTAAAGACTGAATAACCTTGAGAGTTGGGCAAAGGATGTGTGGCACTGACCTATGCCACCTTCTCCAGGCAGCCTAAGAACATCTCTCAGGGCTGTGATATTCCTCTTTGGAGCCCTACCACCCAGCTACATCCCAGCTCTTTCATTTTTATATTGAGCTAGGGTCTCACTCAGCCACTAAGTTACCCAGGCTGGGCTTGAACTTGCAATCCTCCTGACTCAGCCTCAGAGGGCTGGGGTTACAGGAGTACACTGAGGCTCCCAGCACCAGCTCAGCCTCTGTGTCTTTCGGTAAGTTATTCCATTGTGATGGGCCTCTGCTTTCTCATCTGTAAAATGAGGATAAGAGTGGCACTTACTTCTTGGTTATTGTAAGAATCAAATGAGTCACTAGTTGTTGTATTAGGACAGGGATTGGCACCATATTTGTTGTTGTGAGTGATTAGTTCCACCTTGGGGACACACCCTCAGATCTCCAGGGATGTGTGACAGCCTCTGGTGTCACACGAGGTGCTCACCAAGGCTGTTAGCTGTCTCTGTTCATCAGAAGAGGTTTTTTTAATCCACCAATTTAATAATACATATATATTTTTTCTATGTATATTGAAGACATAGAGTTCTTCCATATTGTTCAGGCTGTCCTGGAACTCCTGGGTTCAAGTGATCTTCCTGCTTCAGCATCCTGAGTAGCTGGAACTACAGGTGTACGCTGTCACCCCTGACTAACTTCACTTTAAATTCTAGTTGTACTTTCATTTGTTTACTTTTTATTAGTACATGTTTGCAGTATAGAACAATCGTATTCATTGTAGGGAGTTGGCACAGGTACATAGCGAATCTTAATTCTTTTTATTTCCCTTCCCCTGTCCTCCGGGGGCTGGGTGCTGGGTATTTGGCTCAGTGGTTCCACTGCCTGCCTCACAAGCACAAGGGCCCGAGTTCGATCCCTGGTACAAAAAGAAAAAAAATTAAAATTTATTTTTAGTCAGGCACAGTGGCCTGCACCTGTAGTCCCCACTACGCGGGAGACTGAGACAAGAGGATCTCTCAGCCCAGGAGTCTGAGACCAGCCTGATCACTATAACAAGACTTGGAACTCAGTGGTTCCACTGCCTGCCTCACAAGCACAAGGGCCCGAGTTCGATCCCTGGTACAAAAAGAAAAAAAATTAAAATTTATTTTTAGTCAGGCACAGTGGCCTGCACCTGTAGTCCCCACTACGCGGGAGACTGAGACAAGAGGATCTCTCAGCCCAGGAGTCTGAGACCAGCCTGATCACTATAACAAGACTTGGAACTTGCCTTTCTAAAAATAAAAAGCAACAAAAGAAAATGAGCCGAATTTGAAGCCAGGAGTCAAAGTACTCAAAGTCTGCGCAGGCTCAGGGCCCCTGCCTAGCCTGGATCCCTCAGGGTCAAGGGCTCCTCACTCACCGGAACAGGTTCGCGGAAGAGGTTGTAACCTGAGACCAGGGCCAGGCCCATTTTGTCAGCGTTGGTGGAGTGGATGTGACTCAGGAGATAGTCAAAGGTCTGCTGGTTCCACTCCCTGAAAGGGTCACCCAGAATGTTGGTCACCTCATATCCTGAGCTGGATGAAAATCTTCGGGTCAGCTGGCCTGGGGCCTGACTGGGCTGGGGGGGACACGTCCTAGATGCAGACACCCACCATGGTTCCTCCTGCAACGCTCCCAACACCCCACAACAACAAATAAACAAACAAAAACTCCACCGTTTTCCCATTCATAGGATGGGGAACAAGGAGGCTGAACGTGTCTCATTGTAACCCCTGGAGTGCTTGTCCAGCCTGGGCTCGTGTAGTTGATGAAGTTTAATGAAGGCTTCGATCTGACTTTAGGGTCTGTGGTCCACATGATTCAAGTCTGGCTTTTTTTTTTCAATCTTCTTGAGTTAGGGCTCTTGCTCTGTTACCCATATTGGTCCTGAACTCCTGGGCTCTTGTCTTACCCTCCCCAGTAGCTAAGACCACAGGTATGTGCCACCATCCAGCTCCTTAGTATTTCCTTTATGTTGTGCCTGAGCTTCCGCAGGGACTCATTCACTGCTCCCCACCCTCTGGTATGGGGATCGAACTCAAGACCTTGCATTCGCCAGGCAGGAATGGGGCCACTGAGCTAAATCCCCGGCCCTAAGGAACTCATTCTTGGTGAGGAGACAGGAGAACCCTGGCGGAGAGAGTGGCCCCTCTGCAGCCCCAGCCCCCAGACTGCCCTGTGAGACGCCCCCACTCACATCTCCTGTGGGGTGCTGGGGCCAGAGAGATAGGGCTGCCAGAGGCCGGCCGCCACGTCGGTGGTGGTGAGTGGGGTGAAGCGCTCTGCGTAGATCTTCAGCTCCAGCGGCTGCAGGGCTGAGTGGTAGCGCTCATAGATGCAGAGGGCGGTGGACAGCCCAATGACCCCCGCTCCAATCAGCACCACACGCATCGTGTCAGCTGTCAGAAGGAAAGGTTGGTTGAGGCTCATCATCATCCTCATCGTTAACTTTATCATCGCCGCCATTGAGTACCGGAGACTCAGAAAGGACCGCACACCGCCGAGCCCTTTTCATACTTCATAATGAAGACCCACAGCTCCAGGATGCAGCGGTTGGTCCACCTTCCTGTTTTGCAGGGGCAAACATTGAGGCACAAAGAGGCAAAGTCGCTTGCTGAAGGTCACGTGGCTGGTAAGCAGCCTCCCTGGATGCTGTGTCTCCAGTTGGGAATGTGAAAGGGTCAGCAGACCACGTGGCCCACGGTACCCGGGTTAGTCTAGTGGTTAGGACAATACATGCTGGCTTCAACTCATAGATCGCAGCTCTGCCACCTACCAACCCCTAACTTTGGACAAGATGCTTCATGGACTTCAACTTCTAGGAACATACTGGGGAGGACGGATGGAAGACTTAACGTATTAGATCAGGTGTTCAGTGCAAGAGAAGTGACTGAGGGACTTTGTGGTCCATCGGCTGCGTCCCAGCTCTGAGTGCTTCTCGCTAAGTGCTCCACGCACGCCATTTCATCTAACTCTCAAAATGATCTTCTGAGGGGCTGCTTCCATTGGTCCCATTTTACAGAGGAGGAAGCAAAGTCCCAGAGAGGTGAGGTCACAAAGCCAGTAAGGGGTGTTGCTGGGAACTGACTGCAATTCAAGTGAACTTGACACACACGTATTGCACACCTACTAGGTATGCAATAGCTACCTGACATAGTTATGGGCACATCAGGTACAGGCTCTGGCCTCATCCTCTGTCTCTTACAGCACAGAACCAAGCTTGCCTTGGGGTGCTGGGCTGGATGAGGCCTCAGAAGTTTAAAAGCCCTACCAGTATATATATCTTTTATTTACTTTTGGTTCTGGGGATTGAACTCCAGTTCTTGCACTTGTAAGGCAGGCGGCAGAACCACTAAGCTAAACGCCCAGCTCTTTTACTCATTTTTTTTCTTTTTTTGGTTTTCTGAGACAGGGTCTCACTATGTAGTTGAGACTGACCTGGAACTCACTATGCAGCCCAGGCTGGTCTCGAACTCACAGCGATCCTCCTGCCTCAGCCTCCCGAGTGCTGGGAGTGGGCCACCATGCCCAGCCATACTCACTTTTAATCTTGGCTAACTTTAAATATACAACCTACCAACAGCAGATACAGATTCATGTCACAAGAACCACATCACTGTTCTTTCACTAGATACATCTTGGAATAGCATCAATAGACTGGAAAGCTGAGAAGGGCCACTCCTTTGAAACAACCAAAAGCCTTTGTTCTTCCTTTTTCTGCAGAACCTTTCTTAGAAAAAGCAGGCCGTTCAACAATCACAACCATGTATCTCTCCTCCTAGAATATCAGCACTCTGGTTGCAAAAGGATGTCATCTCGGGGGTAGCACCCTGTTCAGAGCTGGAGTGATCCTCCTTGCTGGGGTTCTATCCCAGGAAATCACTCCCAGTCACCTGCCTGAGCCCCTGCTCCGCTGCTTACAACCATGGAAACCAGTGGTCTGATTGCTTCCCTGTGTACCAGTGTGACCAGGTGTGTGTGTCGGCTTGGACAGCTAGCCTGATTGGAGGTTTATAGAGAGAAGGACCTCTATCACCCCCTAAACCTACAGGCTACAAAGTGGGATGAGGAGAACCGTGACTTGTTGGATTGCAAAGACTGTAGGTCCTGGAAGGAAACCACTTATTTGAAAATATGTAGGAATTGTTTTTCTTGTGACCTAATTTTTTTTCTCCTCTGTCGTTGGTTTGTTTCGTAGAGGTGGTTTGATTTTTATTCCCTATTTTATTTTTCTTTATTATTATCTTTATTTTTTAAAATTTGGTCTCTTTTTTTTTTCCGGTCTTTCTTGTCTTTTCTCTCTTTTCAAAATTTGTTTCCCCAACATTTTTTCTTTTTTTCTTTAATTTACCCTATTTTTCTCCTTTTCCTTTTCTTGGTTACTGTTTTTATTTTATTTTATTTATTATTATTATTATTATTTTTGGTACCAGGGATCGAACTCGGGTCCTTGCGCTTGCGAGGCAGGTACCAGAACCACTGAGCTAAATCCCCGGCCCAGGTTACTGTTATTTTGTACTACTAATTTCCCTTTACTACTTAATAAGACCCTTCAGTTCACTTTTGTCACCTTCTTCTCATCCTCCATCACTTAATTTTTCAAATTCTACTCTTTTCATACTCCCAGTCCTCACAATTTCTATTCACACTAGTATAACCATTAAGTTTTATAACTCTGTAGATAGTTAACTATAACTTAGTATGGTTGAAAACTATTATATTGTTTTGTTTTCTTTTTCTTTCTTTCTTTCTTTTTTATTTTTGGGACCTTCCACTTGGCAGAGGCACCACTGGACTAAATCCCTAAACATTGCTGTCTTTTCAGTGGAGGTAAAGTTGTTTCATTGAGTAGATATTTACTATAGGTAGCTGTTTTGTGTTAGTGTTTATGCTATTATCACCGATTTCTTTTCTATGGTTAAGGGTGATGCATTACTGATTCCTTGGGGTTTATCCACATCATTTGTATTTGCTGCTATTAGTGTTGCTGATTTTACTGCTAAAGCCAAGGGTGTTGCCATCAACTGTTTTTTTCTGTGTGCCAATATCTGGATTGCATGGGGTTGTAAATAATACTGCAGCCTATTACCAAAGAACTGAACACCGGGCCAAATAAGCTATAACCTCCCCTCCCAAATAAATGGAGGTGGTTGGATCCTGGAACAGAGGCAAAGACCAATAGTTAGCCACTCCAGAGGATATCTCTGAAAATAGATATTAACTAAAGAGGTCTCTTTACTAGCAACGAACCTACTCACAGTCTGCAAGCCTCAGCACAGAAAGCAAACAGAAAAATAGAAACATGAGAAGACAAGGCAACAAGGTGCCTCCCTCCAAAAATTCCCAACTCCCCCAAAGCCCATCCAGGGGACATAGAGGGAGAGAAAATAAAAAGCCAAAATATGTGAAAGAGTAACAGTGGAGGTAACAAAAACAGATCGATAAGGTGTTCAGCCAATTCAAACAAGGTTTAATTAAACAGATAATAATCTTAATGAAATAATTGATCAACAAGTCTACAGAAGACCCTACTTAAAAACAGCAGATAGGGCCAGGGATTTAGCTCCATGTCACCACACCTGCCTCCCAAAGCCCAGGTCCTGAGTTTGATCCTCGTTACCAAACACAAACGAGCAAACAAACAAAACGCAGAGCTAAAGAAAGAGATGTAAAGCATGGATGGCCAGAATCGAAAAGAATTGGAGTCCATAAAAAAATTCCACACAGAAATCCAGGAGATTAAAAACTCTATTAAATGTAGGAGCAGCAGGTGTGACCAGTGGGAGGACAAGTCTGAGTTTGAGAAGACAGGGCTGTAACTGGTGATCAGTTAATGAGAGATAGCTTCAAAAATGACAAAAGAACATAAAAAGTGGATCCAACAGCTGCTGGTTGACACAAAGAAGATTAATCTAAGATTACTTGGAACTGGTGAAAAAGTAAGAAGACAGCACAAAGGGCATAAAAACCCCTTTTACGAGAGTAATAGAAAACTTTCCACACATTGAACAAAGAGTTTAACATACAGGAGAGTGAGGCATATGCAACCCTAAATAGGCATGATAGAAAAAGACCACTGCACGACACATGATAGTCAGAATACCAGGAGCCCAAGACAATAACAGAATCTTCAAAGTTGTTAGAGAAGGCAACGAATCACTTATAAAGGAAAACCCATCAGAATTACAGACTTTTCAACACAACCTTAAAGGCAAGAAGAGTTTGGAATGCAGTATTTCAATCAATAGAAGAAAACCTGCAATGATATATCCAGTAAAATTACCTTTCAAAGCTGATAGAGAACGAGGCGTGATGACACATGCCTGTAATCCCAGCACTGGGGAGGCTGAAATAGGAGGATCGGCCAGGAGGCCAGGCTGCACTACGGAGTGAGTTCAAGGCCAGTCTCACAGTAGTGAGACTGTGTCTCAAAACAAAACAAAAACCAGGGCCTTGGATTTAGCTCAGTGGTTGCCTTGCCTGCCTCAGAAGCACAAGGTCCTGAGTTCAATCCCCTGTACCCCCCCCCCCAAAAAAAATCAATAGCATTCCTATACACTAACAATGAACTCACTGAGAAAGATATTCGGAAAATGATACCATTCACATTAGCAATTAATCTAATTTGGGAAATGAAAAACCTCTACCATGAAAACTATAGAACTCTAAAAAGGGAAGTGGAAACAACCCCAGGCACGTTCAACTATTTTGATCTTTGACAAAGGGGCTAAAAGCATACACTAGAGGAAAGAGTATCTCTTTAATAAATGGTAGTGGGGGGCTGGGGATTTAGCTCAGTGGTTCCACCACCTGCCTTGCTGGGGAAATGCAGAAGAGTGAGTCTAGACCCACATATGTCACCATGTACTAACTAACATAAAAATGAATCAAAGATCTAATGTTAAAGCAAGGTGTGGTGCCACACGCCTGTAATCTCAGTACTCCAGAGGCTGAGGCAGGAGGATCGCTATGAGTTCGAGGCCAGACTAGGCTACATAGTGAGTTCAAGGCCAGCCTGAACTACATGATGAGACCCTGTCTCAAAAGGAAAGAGAAGAGAAGAAAAGAGCTAATGTTAAAACAGAAACACTTAATCTTCTGGAAGATAAAATAAGCAAAACTCTTCCACATAAGTATAGGCAAGGACTTTCTGAACAGAATCCCAAGACACAAGGAAGAAAACTGAGAATCAACAAACAGAATCTTATTAAAATAAAAAGCTTCCGCACAGCAAAGTAAACAACCAACAGAATAAAGACACCACCTACAGAATGGGAAAGAAATTTTGCCAGCTATTACTCAGAGGACTAATATCTGGAATACGTAAAGAACTCAAAAAATTAGATCCCTCAAAATAAAAGATCTAATCAAATGGGCAACTGAAATGAATAGGCACTTC